GGGGGGGGGGGGGGGGGGTTCTATATCTTCATCTTGGTCTCAAAGGTTTTAATAGTAGATAAAATCTTGTTAACACAAGTAATAAGTGTTAATCGTGCATTACTATAAAACTCCAATCGGCTCTTGTTGGATCTTTTTCCTAATTAGAGTGGATGTGTGGTAATCTATCATTTCATGTATATAGGTTGCCTCATATGTATGTCGTGATGAGAGTTCATTAGTGCCACATGCATATAAAATTAAAGGTATAAGAGTTCAAGTGTCAAGAGTTTTGTATTATGTATGTGTGCTTGAGTTATATTTTTGATGTGTTTTAGTTTACTATCTTACCTTCTTATATGTGCTATAAACATGAGTGAAATGTATCTTCACTCTTATGTTTTGTGTTGTCTATTGTATTTAGGTTTAAATGCCAATTTTTTGACAAGCATGAGCATATTGAACATAAGACTAAAGATGATGAAGCTTATGATTCATTGTTTATGTTTGATGGTTGCTTTGATAGCTTGCGATATTGGGACAAAGGATCTAGTTATATTTATATTTGTTATAAACTGTATTTAATTTAAAGTCATCATATTAGTTTGAAAACTTTTATAAAAATCGTTTGAGTGCCTAGTTATTGTAAATATGAATAATTTTATCCACGTGATAAAGTATAATATTGATTTAATTAATTTCCTTATTTATTATTATATAAGATAAAGTGTTACGAGGTAAGAGTGTCACATATTACTACTACAAATGTTTGAAAATAAAAATACAAATAATATAAAATTGACATGTTATTTTCAATATTTTTTTTTACATTAAATAGTGAAGATATTTTATTTTTTAATTATTACCTCCAAAAAAATTTAAAAATAAGAAACAAAATTTAAATAATACAACGATTTTGTAAATTAAGAGCAGAATAAAAAAAATAGATAAAAAAAGCAGATACCGCATTTTTAGGTGAAAAAAGGTTATGACTTTATTGACATATCATTAAAAAAAACATAACACAATGTATTAATGGGATACAAATTCCAATAATAATAGTGATTTACACAAATAACATTCACTCATAATTCCTTAACAAATTGTCCACGATTGAACAGTCTTTGATCGAAGTATTCTTTACTACTCATTCTTTTTTAATGATATTTTATATAAATAACATTTTATTTTAATTGTTGAGAACCATTATGTGATTCCTATAAGAGAAATGCTAAAGCATCTGACTGGTAGAGTCCGAATTATACTCCAAAGTGTTAAAAGTTAACAATGTTAAATTAAATCTTTTTTTTTCTTCATTATATCAATTGATAAATATTAAACTTTCATGCTAAAATTCTAATTTGATCTCTTATAATATTTTAAAATTTTAATTTAGTTTCACTTTAATTTTTGGGTTCAATTTAGTCTCATTTATAAAAAATACTAATAATGTTTACCTTTTGGCTAAATTTCTCAAATGTCGTTAAAGAGCCGTGAGAATTATACTCGTGATTTTCAATCATGCTCATGATTCTCAATCACATAGACACTCTTAAACGGCGTTGAAAATTTTAAACAAAAGACAAATACGGCAAGCATTTTTAATAAGTGAAACTAAATTAAACTTAAAATTTTAAAATAAAACTAAATTAAAACTTTAAAATATTATAGTAAATCAAACTTTCAAAACGATTTTTTTTTTATTAGTGAACTTCGGAGGATACAACAATTTTCTACGTATAAATGTCTATAATTCATTGATCGACATGTATTAAATTTTAATGCAAAAGGAAATAACATCGTACATGTACCAAACAAAGAGACAAAAACCTACTTTATAATTATGGAAATTGACAAAATCATACGTCAGATTCGACACAAAATTAAGAAAAGACGAGATTATTGAAGAAAAAAATAAACGTGCACCCCAAAAATTTATGTTTGGTGTCCACCGAAAAGTATAGTTAATTATATGGATTTGATTTTTTTAAGTGATTTTTTTAAGAAAAATAAAATGTAATAATAACCGTTGATTTAAAAAATAATTACAAATATTTTAAAATTTACCATATCTATATATATGTATTTAATTTTATCAAGATTATAAATTAATTTTTAATAAATAATTGTGAGCGTAATTTATTCTTTAAAATGCATTCCTTCGATTTAAAACAACTAAATCTTAATTATTACGCAAATGTGATTAATTTTATCTTATACGTAATTTTTTTTACACCATGTTACACGTAGTTAAAAATAAAAAGTAATGTGATTAAATATACTTATTGACATATGATTAGAAGTGTCATCACCAGTATGATTGAATATGTGTGAATAGACTTAATTTTGTTACGTAAGTGATAATAGATATGTGAATTCTTTTTATTAAAATAATGATATAAAGGTATTTTTTTACATCAACAAAATCATATATTTTCGTTGTAATAATATTTTAAATGCAATAAAAAATTTTATTATGAATATTATTTGCATCATTACGAAATAGAATTTTTAATTAAGGAATAAAATATTAAATTATTTTATCTTCTACTATGTTGAATAATAATAGGAGATCATGATTTGTCTAATTTAATTAAGAATCATGTTACATTTAATTAGAAATATCTTCTTCATTATTATAAATTTGAATCAATAATTACATTATGAAATTGGTGACTATGAAACCAATAAGACTATCCAATTTCTCCCTCCTTTACCAACATATTAGCTTTAATAAAGGTAGTTTTTATTATAAAAAAAATCACCCATTTCATTCCTCAAACAAGCTTCAAATTTTGTGATGGCTTCCTGAATAAAAAAATTATATCACAATCACACTTCAATTTATTTATCTAACGGGGAGGAATCTACACATTTAAAGAAAGTCTCATAACGTGTACAAAATTAGGTTGATGCTCATCAATATTTAAAATTTTATTAATATTTAATCGATTTATAAGAGCAAATTTTACTTTATTCAATATTATATCCGCTGGTTCATATTTTGCATTTCATAACATTTTTTTTCCGTCAAATACTCCACATAATTATAATATAATATGAAGTTATTAATCATCATTTGTAATTAACAGCATATATAATATAATTAACGTTTGATGTGATTACAAATAAATGAACATCATTATATCAATTATCTGGTAAATAGTTTCACGTGGTATTAAAATGTTTAATTTTGCCTCACAAATGATTAACAATGTATGATTATTAAAATGATTAATAATAATCAATTATTATTAAAATAAAATCAACCATACTTATTTTCAAATGTATGGTAATCATTACCCGTGCTTAAATTCACCGTAATACTAGTATACTACTATGACAGTAAACAAGTATGGATTCTATGAATTTCTTTTGCAGTTACAAAGTTGGATAAGAAGCAACTTTGGCTATGCCACAAACACCTCCTACTTCACCACTTTCCCTCTGCAATCTCATGTAACCTTTCTCTCCCCAAGTCTCACCCCACGAATTCTTGATCAACCAGTACTTAGTGCCGTCATTGTTCGTCCCATAACCAATTAGAGTAACTGCATGATTGAGAACGGTTCCACATGGTCCAGCAAATACACCTTCTCTGTATGACCTAAAGTTATTATTGATAGAAACCGCAACTGAAACTGGTTGTTGGACCACTGCTTGTAGTAAATACTCTTCACTATTTGTAGGTACATTTACAAAACCACTTATTTTAACAGCGAGTTGTTTCCCTCCACTCTGGCAAGTTCCTTGAAATCCTTGGTATGGGTAATTGTTTTCAGTGGCGATTCCTCCGTTATCTACGATATATTTAAAGGCCCTAACCATGAATCCTCCTTGACACCCATTGTTAGTTCTATCACAGTCCAATAGTTGTTGCTCTGACAAGGAAATCAATTTGTTTGTTTTGATTCCAACAAGGCCTTCTATAGCTCCCACAGTTGAGAAAGCCCAACAGCATGCTACAAACGTACAATTAGAATACATTAGTGTTAAAAAATTACGTTTTGGTTAAAGAGTCTTTTGCCGTGTGTAAAATGCCACCATAAATTTACACTAAAAATGTTTAAGGTTTTAAAATAGTTTTTTCAAATCTATAAAAAAGAATAACAATTAGAGATAAAAATGAATCGGTTGTTTCATGAGATAAAAAAAATATATAGATAATTAATGAATCAGTTATTTAGGATATGTTTGAAATACATGTGAACATTATATTTTGTAATTACCTATATATTATCGATAATTATAAAGCACACAAGAGGTTATTACTCACCACATTCGCCTTGGTTTTTAACATTAGTGACAACTCCTTTGTCTCTCCAGTCAAAGTTTGATGGAATACCAGTAAGATTCAATGGTATCGTATTTAAAGATGAATCTGATACTGGTAGGCTTGAAATCTTGAATCCAGTATGTGAAGCGATAAACTCTTGTTCGGTTAAATCAGAAAATTGATTCAGACCCATCTTGTAACTCGTATTCTCAGCATTGTTGAACTTCTCTACGTATTCCAAGTTCTCCATAAATATTTTGAAGCGTTTCTGCTTTTCTGCCTCATCGGTATAGGAGCGTTGATGTTTGGACATCCATTGCTCGTGTGTTTTAGCAACAGAAGACTCAGACAACGTTCGGGACATGACTTGATATGTACATGTCCAGAAGATGACACAAACAACAATAAAATGTTTCATTTCAACTGAAATACCCTTTTTTTTTTCACACACAATAATGTATTGTATGAAAATGACAATGAAAATTATAACGTGGGTTTGGAATATTTATAGCATTCAAAACCTATTGCTAGCTATATTTTAGCTTCACTGAGAAATACAATTGATTTCTATATGCATGTCTATATATCCAATAAATATATCTATATATATATATATATATTAAGTTAAATTGTATTTTTAGTCTTTTATTTTTAAGATTTTTTTTATTTTTTTTATTTTTTAAAATATTTCCTTTGATTCCTTATTTCATAAATTTGGGTTGATACAATCTTTTTAAAATAATGATTATTTACAATTTTTAGACACAATTTTTAATTATTTTTGACCGATTCAAGATTTATATTTTCTTTCTAGAATTATTTATATAAAAATTATCGAATACAATTAAATTTCAAACAATTTTTTTGTAAGCATGGTGAAAATCTTATAAACATAATAAATTCAAAAAATAATCAATTTTTTTTTAATGTTATATTATGTGTAAATATTTAGTAATTTTTACAATGTTTATAATTTTTTTTTGAATTCAAACAATAATTGAATTTCATAGTCTTGATGTAGATAAATTTATTATTACAAGTTTTACATATTGAATAAGTCAAAAATTGATTTAAAATTGTGTCATAAAATTTAAAATGATAACTTTTATAAAAGGATCAAATTGATCCAAATATAATATATAAAGAATTAAAATAAATCTATAAATAAAATAAAAGACCAAAATCATAATCTAACCTTTTTTAATCAGTAGTTAGCATATAATTTTATCTTAATGACTTATATAACAAAGGTCAATATAAATTATTAAAGTAAAAATTTAATTGATTAAATAATAATATACAAAATATGTATCAAAATCTTATTCTTTTATTTATACTATCAGTCTAGTAAGGTAAATTAAAATATAAAACCAATATTTCATAATTACATTCTTATTTAGTGACATATATATATATATATA